GGCCAAGTACGAACCCATTTTTGGGGATTTCGCATGAAAAGAGGGCTGTTAAACGTAGCAGTTAAATCTGTAAAGAATACACTCATAATAATTTTCATTTTTTTCATCTTGACTTCCATAGCTCCACTCCCACTATCAACTGAAATGTCGAAGCATTGCCCGGCTCTGAGTGACCCTTGAGATTACGACCCCCCCTCCCCAGCGGCCAAGTACGACCCCCTATGGGTTTCGCACAACGATGCTGTACCCTGCAATAACTAAAGAGGGAGATAAACAAACAAAAACAAAAGAAATGTGTTATAAAACACTAAATAGAACAACTAGAATACCATGTCCCAACACACAACGAAACACCGTAACTGACTAGGCTGAGAATTCGAATAAGCGAAATATTAGGAGGAGTAATCAAAGAGGTAACTGAACTTCCGGTAACCGAACTATTACAGCGCACGGCCGCCGCCAATAATAACGAAATCTCAGCAAAAAGGACTGAGTGTGAATTTCGTAACCACATAGAAGACGTGAAAAGTGAAGATTGATGGGCATATGAACGCAGAAAATGAAACACGCGCTTATTCTCCTGATAACAAATTCACTTCAAATGGCTCGCGTGCCAGCTGTGAAGTCGTTCACTCAGAAAAAAAACCGCGAATGGTAACGTAAGGAGATAACGTGAGTACCTCAACATTCTGCTTCGGTCTTGTCACTAAAAACCATAGCGCGGACGGGGAAGGTTAGTCAACAGAGGTCAGATAGGGGACAGCGGACATGTCTCTGTGGCTTTTGTATCGCCTTCCGCAAAAATGCTTTAGCTGACCGGGTTATCCATCATCGGATATTCTCTCGCTGCGAGCGTCTAGAGGTAATTCATCGCATCTTTTGGCTCAGCATTTGAAGGGGTGGAAAATAAAAAAGATGTAAGAAAGAAGGAAGAAACGAAAAGAAGGAAGGAAGAAGACAAAAAGGAGAAGGAAGGTCGCGCAATCGAGATATGTTCTGAGACGTATCCGTTGCCCAAAGAGACTCCGGATTGAAGCGCAGTTGACCGGAGTCGCCAAGACATAGTCCCATAGAGAAGTCCTAGTCCTCACCAAGCCTAAGGATAGGGAGGAGTTGGAGGATGCCCTCCCCTTTTACCAACTACTTCAACGCCGCGGAGTGACACCGAATGCGCAATGGGCGTTGGTATAGAAGGCAAGTTGTCGCTTGAAGGTGTGCAACGTTTAAAAGTGAGCCACAGCAGTCATAAAGCACTATTTGAGCAAGAGGGTGCAGGTAAGAGCAGAATACCAGGTCGATTCGAAAGCAAGAGTTCGGATAGCTCATGTAAACTGGATGGAAGGTTCAGAGACTTTCTAATTCCTACCGTAGATTGATTCGCCCAGGCAAGGTTGGCAATGAAATACGTTCCAAAACGTGGCCTAGCCACTGCGCAGTACATTGATGGATGACGAAATTGTCGCTCGCGGAAAAAAGCACGCAGATTAGAGAACAATGGCCCTCTTGTCTTACATTCTGCCTAGCAACGCAATACGTTTATGACTCAGCTATGCCTCAACAGTTTCACAAGAGAGTCTGAGAATGCTTCGTCTTTACTTCAGTCGGCAAAAACCCCTCAAAAGTAAGTGAAGCCTCAGCTACATAGTAATCGACATCAAAGTAAAATTCACCATGTATTTCGCATCCGAGTAGAACAGACATTAGAAGAACCACAGGTCAACGAGTAATACGCATAAAGCCATTTATTAAGTGCAAAATGAACAATAAAATCAACAATTCCAACAGGTGTCATAGCACGGACTGACAAGAGAGACAAGACTTCTGCTGAAATTATAGGCTAGCAAAGATCATTTCTGGTGGAGAAACCATAGAGATACGGACAATAAGACCAAGCAAACTGAGCCAAGCAAGATGGGACAGACAAAATGGTGGCGGCCAAAAAATCGCGAACGAGGTCGTCATTGACAAACGATGATCACTGAGGCATCTCCTCCTGTACGCCGTCTTTTTGCGTCTTCTTCGTTCCGGACACAATGTCATCAATGCGTAGGAGCATGATCTATATTATACAGAAGTCATATTTAGGATTAAAAAGCTTGATCATTCCAATACTTTTAGTTTCTTTGTTGAAGGCACACCCGGGTTGTTCAGAAGTGATGAACACTAAAAACCCGCTCGTAATGTCTCATATGGAACCCCATGCTGAACGGCGCTCACATGTGCACAAGATGAAGGAAGGGAGTGGTCGGACGAGTTCTCAGTTCTTGCTGGCAGCTATTTCCTTACGACCTCACTCTCGCCATTCGAAATTCAGAAGCTAATAGGGGAAGAACCGCACCCCCGGGATACCTTTGGATATGAAAGTTGGGTTTTGCCGTGGCTAGTGGGCGGAGCCCCGCCCGTGGCGAGCGGGTGGTTCCCTCCCATATTTTTTTGAGCTGAAAGTATTGCAACCTCCATGCTTTCCGGCAGAATTATCATGTATAAAGAAGACGCATGAACATCAAATGAAGGCGAGGTGTGCCTTTAGCACAGTTTCAGCAAACAGGACAGTATACAAATTGCACTTTTGAGGTGCAAACTGAACCTCTGGATCCCAGGGAGAAGAACCCAGCTGTGACCTTCGAGTCAAAATACCCGAACATTGGAAAGAGAAATAAAATCTAACTGGTTCACCAAGAATTGTGGATAGAATGCCTTCACAACAACTGACACAAACTATAATAGCTGCCAACTACCCAGTGCGCGTTGCGTAATAACATGGAAGTAAAGGGAGCGACAAGGGACCGGGGCCATTTCACCGCTCCGCACACACTGCTTACGCTACAAATGACCCTGACCCAAACAAATCGGATCCAGGAACAACCCTCAGCGCCCACTCACTCATCCTGCGCGATGATTGAGACCGACAGTGGGGAAAACATCTAACCAAAATGCGCAACCTCCGGCCGCAATAAAGCTGCTGAGCGCTTGTACAGATCGCAAAAAATTACCCGCTTTCGCTAGTTTCTCGTGATACTTCCTGTTGACTAGCACCCCTCAACTTGGCGAGACTTATAGACTGTCAAGTCTGAATGAAACTCCCACTTCACAGGTGTTTACAGGTCTGCACAGGTGGCATTCGCAATGATTGATGGGAATCAGCAAAATGCCCAAGGAAGCCGAACTTCGCCAAAAATTCTTTCTCATAGGTGGAAGTCGATTTGACAAACGCTAAATAAGAAAAAGAACAGTACCGATGTTTCCACTGCTGTTTTCAACACCTGCACACGTACAGTGAGTGGATCCCAAATGTCCAGTTTGCACATATCCACCTAAATAACGCCATTTTACATTAGGTGTTACACTTGGAATACAGAATTAACCACAAAACTAGACATTGATGGTAATGGTGACGTGGAAAGAGGGATTTTTTCAGCTCACCAGCTCGCCTGTCGTTCCATTAATTCCCCACGTCCAATTTTCAGCATTTTGTGCATGTTTTGCGCGAAGTGCAGTCAATTGTCGGATTGTGTTTCCGGCACAGTTTTGAATGAGAGTGCGAGGAATTACCTTAATAAAAGGGTTGACATTCTGTTACTAATTCGTTGTAGTTCAAGCGAACCATAGGGATTGCCGAAAATTTAAGGAGCTTCTCTAACTCGCGTTCACACTCCGATGGTCTGGATCGTGCGATCGGCTCGAGGGTTCGGATCACGAAGTATGAACGCGCCCCTAATGGTGTACTCAACCTTAGCAATATGCCAAAGAGTAGAGAAGGAACCACATCTGGCACAACATCTGGACCGCATTCCGATACAAGAAAGAAAGTTACCTCAAGAGCTCTGGCAATCGCTTTGTAAGGCCACTGTCTGACTCCCTCCATAGATTTTCCTTTCTCAGTGATGGCCTTAAACAGTAACTTCACATTCCACCTTATAAAACATCTCAATGAACCTATAACGAAGCTACGAACCTGAGCAAGAGCCATCTCAAGAGCACCACCACCAGGAACAAGGCGAGGATTCAACATTATGTTTCTAACGACGTGCAAAGAGTCTTGAAGATTGCGTTCAACCTAAAATCAAGAAAAAGGCTGAGGACGTAAACACCAAAACAGAAGTTAAACACTGATTCCCATATTTCAGGAGAGCCTCAAAACATACTTATTCGAAGACTGATTTATTCAAAACAACTTGTATGACGAACCTCGTTAATAACATCTTTCGATGGACCTCGAAGGCAAATCGTACAAGCCGTAGTTTTCTCCGATGTCACATAGGTGTAGTACCTGAACCAAGTGCGACATACAAACATAGAAACAATGGGACAAATGAAATATTAAGAAAAAAATGGTGTTGGACGATGCTGGGGCAATTCACGCAAACAGCTCTATTTCCTCGTTGGCTGGCTTCACACACTATTGCACTTCTACGTTAAGCCAACTAGTCTTCGGGAAGACGCCCCGGATGTGACGCTTCTTGCTCGTCAAACCCTAGTCGCAAATTATGAATGGGGCCTAACGTTCTACAACCAAAGTGAAGTAGTCAGTGGAAACTTTGCAAACTGACTCGTCTCCTATCTTCGTGATCTCGAAAAGATCGGCCTGCGTTCCGACGTCGGCCTCCCGCAGATCTGCTGTATCGTTGACAATTCGAGCGCCGCACACCCTGCAAAGCTTTTTACTTTTTTTTACCTAAGACATACTTATAACTCCAATATTCTAATTTTTGTTTCCAAAGTCCACTGCGAAACACTAGCATTTACTTGCTCCTTATCCCACTGGCTGAAAGGACCAATGTAGAAGGCAGAATTTCATGAAACGGGAAGATATGAATTTCATGGCACATAAAAATTGATAGAGCAACTATCGGATCGGTTCGGTGCCCGGGGTGGGGAAGGGCGCTTTGAGCTGCTGCTGCTTCCCACTGTCGTGTCGAGCCATCAAGTACGGATTTGTGAAACCGCTGAATCCAGTGATACCAGTCAAAGTTTGAAGAAACCACTTGTCAACTCTTCTAAACTACTGAACCGACGATGGGAAGCAGCGAGAGTAGAAAATCTCTTCCCCCCCCCCCCCCGTCGTAACTGCGCTGTAATTACATCTACAATAAGGATTTTCAAGTGGTCTCCATTTTACGCACAACTGAAAAAAATTACAAGCGTTAAGAAATAAGTGCTGCAAAAACTATTCCACAAACCTTGCTAATCTATTGTTATCGGTTTTCTTCAAACGTCTGATCGCTGTAATGCCAGCTTTAAGGAGAAAATGTTGTGCCAAATCGGAAACTCCTTTTTCAGTAAAGACTAGGTCGGGTTTCACGCTGATGATTTCGTCACATTGCTTACGGATCGCTTCTTCTTCCTGCATAAAATTCATTATAACTGCAGAAATTTGGAAGAGGTAAAGGAACCAGTGAAGGAACCAAAACGCTGATGTAGAGAATAACAGTAGATACGCTTACCTGCTCAAGGATTCGACTGATGTCTTCCTCCTTCATAATCTCCAGCGAGGTCTGAGATTCTCCTTTTTTATATTCCAAGTTACAGTCAAGCAAAACAATTCGAGGATGTTCAATGCGACGACGCATTTTGGCATGAGTGACGTCCTGAACACAAAAAAAACTTTGAAGAGAACAGCTGGAAGGCGAGTGCGGGAGGGAATATTAAGCACACCTTGTTGAGAACAACTCCTTTGATAACCCTGCAATCTTCGATAGTTCCTCCAGGGATCTTCTCTATGCGGCAGTATCTGAAAGAAATTATCTTAGCGAAATCATTTCAGACGAATGAAAAAATGAAAAGCAGACTGTGAGGTCATGGGACATGGACGCGGAGGGATACCTTTGCGAGAACCGTCATTTCACTTAAAAGGCTGCTAGATTCTAAGATGATGTTGCAAAGCACAATCCTCGACATGAATTTCTGATTGGTTTTCGAATTGGTCCTGCAATCAGGGCACGTCGCACGCTGGGGAACCTTCAGAGGATCTGGATCTTCGTAGGGTCGCTAGAGAGACGGGAGTCGCTTTTACTTGCCACTTTGGGGGAGGCCGCATTTAGCCTAAGAAAAAACTGTTGCATTGCACAAGAAAATATTTTCCGGATATTACTTGTTTACACTATGTGCTGCCTGTACCCCTCTCCCCGGCAGTTTCTTGGGAAGAAACTGGAAATTTTTGGAAAGTTTCGGGAAAAGTGGCAGAAAGTTGGGAAAAGCCAGCAAAATAGCAGCTGGCTGAGGAGGAGTCGTAATAGAGGAGGAACGTTGGAGAGGCACATTTTGTAAAAAACTTCCCCAGCTACAACGTGCTCTGTTTGCAATTCCAGTTTTAAAACACAGAGCAAACCAGCAAAGATCTCCTACACAGCCTCATTCTACCAAACGTAGCAACGATAAGATAGCTAGGGAGGCAGAGTGACAATGGGGCTCACAAAATTTGAACTACAGAAAATCCCTTATTTTTGGAACAACTTGGGCAAACCTACCTTTTGAGATCAATTTCACTTGCACTTCCTTTATCGACTCGGATAGTCTTAACAGCATCCAGCGATATTTTCACAGCCAAATCCATCCATTTGCTCAGCATTTTAGTTCCCAAACATGATTTGACTACGGAAGTGATCTAAAAAGG